AGGCGCTTCCAAAAGCGTAGGAGCACCCTCCTGAGAAGCGCCGAACGTACCACGTGGAACAGCACTCGCTTGTGACTTGTGATGGAAAGACTCTTGACTACCTGACACCTGTCAATGCGGGTCACCCCACTAAAACAAAACACGTAAGACCATTTGCCACCAGCAGAGGGCCTGAAGTAAAACCATGCTTTTGCAGCTCTCCACTAAGGGATCTGCTGCTTAGGCTTGGAAAGAGAAACTTTCTTATTATTGCCTTATTAGAGTCTTAATAAGGGCTTATCCATTTTGTGTGGATAAGTACTTATTAAATCCCTATTAAAGCCTTGATAAGCCTATGATAAGACCTTATTAAAGGTTTATTCAGAGAAAGCGCCACTACGCCCTAATCCTGTGCTTGTGCATAATTGAAGTAGCCCCCCCCCATAGCCCCCCCCGGGCATTCCATGACATTACATTACATTACATTACATTACATTACATTACATTACATTACATTACATTACATTACATTACATTACATTACATTACATTACATTACATTACATTACATTACATTACATTACATTACATTACATTACATTACATTACATTACATTACATACATACATACATACATACATACATACATACATTACATTACATTACATTACATTACATTACATTACATTACATTACATTACATTACATTACATTACATTACATTACATTACATTACATTTACATTACATTACATTACATTACATTACATTACATTACATTACATCACATACATTACATTACATTACATTACATTACATTACATTACATACATTACATTACATTACATTACATACATTACATACGTACATACATACATACATACATACATACATACATACATACATACATACATACATACATACATACATACATACATACATACATTACATACAACATACATACATTACATACATACATACATACATACATACATACATACATACATACATACATACATACATACATACATACATACATACATACATACATACATACATACATACATACATACATACATACATACATAACATACAATACATACATACATACATACATACATACATACATACATACATACATACATACATACATACATACATACATACATACATAACATACATACATTACATTACATTACATTACATTACAACATACATACATACATACATTACATACATACATACATACATACATACATACATACATACATACATACATACATACATACATACATACATACATACATACATACATACATACATACATTACATACATACATACATACATACATAACATAACATAACATACATACATTACATACATACATACATACATACATACATACATACATACATACATACATACATACATACATACATACATACATACATACATACATACATACATACATACATACATACATACATACATACATACATACATACATTAAATACATACATACATACATTACAATACATACATACATACATACATACATACATACATACATACATACATACATACATACATACATACATACATACATTACATACATACATACATACATACATACATACATACATTACATTACATTACATTACATTACATTACATTACATTACATTACATTACATTACATTACATTACATTACATTACATTACATTACATTACATTACATTACATTACATTACATTACATAACATTACATTACATTACATTACATTACATTACATTACATTACATTGCATTACATTACATTACATTACATTACATTACATTACATTACATTACATTATCATGGACTATCGGGGGGGCCTATGAGGGGGGGGGCTACTTCCTTTATCCATAAGGGTTGGATAAGCTTTGGGAAAGGACATGATTCTTATTGGCTCATGGCCATGTCTTCACTAACACGGCGTTCGTACAGGGACTAGTGCCACGACCAAGCCGGTTAAGTTTTTTTCTGCGGCTGCCCTGGGCGTCCCGAGCTGGTCCTCCTATTCTGGGCTTATCCTCGGCTTATCCTGGGCTTATCCTGGGCTTATCCTCGGCATATCCTGGGCTTACCCTGGGGGTATCCTCAGCTTATGCTCGGCTTATCCGTAAGGGCTTAATAGACCTTAATAAGGTTTTAATAAGGTCTTATTAAGGCCTTATTCGAGGGCTATTAATTTCTTAATAAGAAACGTGGGGAACAAGGCGCTTCCAAAAGCGTAGGAGCACCCTCCTGAGAAGCGCCGAACGTACCACGTGGAACAGCACTCGCTTGTGACTTGTGATGGAAAGACTCTTGACTACCTGACACCTGTCAATGCGGGTCACCCCACTAAAACAAAACACGTAAGACCATTTGCCACCAGCAGAGGGCCTGAAGTAAAACCATGCTTTTGCAGCTCTCCACTAAGGGATCTGCTGCTTAGGCTTGGAAAGAGAAACTTTCTTATTATTGCCTTATTAGAGTCTTAATAAGGGCTTATCCATTTTGTGTGGATAAGTACTTATTAAATCCCTATTAAAGCCTTGATAAGCCTATGATAAGACCTTATTAAAGGTTTATTCAGAGAAAGCGCCACTACGCCCTAATCCTGTGCTTGTGCATAATTGAAGTAGCCCCCCCCCATAGCCCCCCCCGGGCATTCCATGACATTACATTACATTACATTACATTACATTACATTACATTACATTACATTACATTACATTAAATTACATTACATACATAACATTACATACATACATACATACATACATTACATTACATTACATTACATTACATTACATTACATTACATTACATTACATTACATTACATTACATTACATTACATTACATTACATTACATTACATTACATTACATTACATTACATTACATTACATTACATTACATACATTACATTACATTACATACATTACATTACATTACATTACATTACATTACATTACATTACATTACATACATACATACATTACATACATACATACATACATACATACATACATACATACATACATACATACATACATACATACATACATACATACATACATACATACATACATACATACATACATACAACATACATACATACATACATACATACATACATACATACATACATACATACATACATACATACATACATACATACATACATACATTACATACATACATACATACATACATACATACATACATACATACATACATACATACATACATACATACATACATACATACATACATACATACATACATACATACATTACATACATACATACAACATACATACATACATACATACATTACATACATACATTACATTACATTACATTACATTACATTACATTACATTACATTACATTACATTACATTACATTACATTACATTACATTACATTACATTACATTACACATACATTACATTACACATACATTACATTACACATAACATACATACATACATACATACATTACATACATACATTACATACATACATTACATACATACATACATACATACATACATTACATACATACATTACATACATTCATACATACATACATACATACATACATACATACATACATACATTACATACATACATACATACATACATACATACATACATACATACATACATACATACATACATACATACATACATACATACAGTACATACATACATTACATACATACATACATACATACATACATACATACATACATACATACATACATACATACATACATACATACATACCATACATACATACATACACATACATTACATACATACATACATACATACATACATACATACATACATACATACATACATACATACATTACATTACATACATACATACATACATACATACATACATACATACATACATACATACATACATACATACATACATACATACATACATACATACATTACATACATACATACATACATTACATACATACATACATACATACATACATACATACATACATACATACATACATACATTACATACATACATACATACATACATTACATACATACATACATACATACATACATACATACATACATACATACATACATACATACATACATACATACATACATACATACATACATACATACATACATACATACATACATACATACATACATACATACATACATACATACATACATACACACATTACATTACATTACATTACATTACATTACATTACATTACATTACATTACATTACATTACATTACATTACATTACATTACATTACATTACATTACATTACATTACATTACATTACATTACATTACATTACATTACATTACATTACATTACATTACACATTACATTACATTACATTACATTACATACATACATTACATTACATTACATTACATTACATTACATACATTACATTACATTACATTACATTACATTACATTACATTACATTACATTACATTACATTACATTACATTACATTACATTACATTACATTACATTACATTACATTACATTACATTACATTACATTACATTACATTACATTACATTACATTACATTACATTACATACATACATACATACATTACATTACATTACATTACATTACATTACATTACATTACATTACATTACATTACATTACATTACATTACATTACATTACATTACATTACATTACATTACATTACATTACATTACATTTCATTACATTACATTACATTACATTACATTACACATTACATTACATTACATTACATTACATTACATTACATTACATTACATTACATTACATTACATTACATTACATTACATTACATTACATTACATTACATTACATTACATTACATTACATTACATTACATTACATTACATTACATTACATTACATTACATTACATTACATTACATTACATTACATTACATTACATTACATTACATTACATTACATTACATTACATTACATTACATTACATTACATTACATTACATTACATTACATTACATTACATTACATTACATTACATTACATTACATACATTACATTACATTACATTACATTACATTACATTACATTACATTACATTACATTACATTACATTACATTACATTACATTACATTACATACATACATTACATTACATTACAACATACATTACATACATACATTACAACATTACATACATTACATTACATTACATTACATTACATTACATTACATTACATTACATTACATTACATTACATTACATTACATTACATACATACATACATACATTACATTACATACATTACATTACATTACATTACATTACATTACATACATACATACATACATACATACATACATTACATACATTACATACATACATACATACATACATTACATACATACATACATACATACATACATACATACATACATACATACATACATACATACATACATACATACATACATACATACATACATACATACATACATACATACATACATACATACATACATACATACATACATACATACATACATACATACATACATACATACATACATACATACATACATACATACATACATAATACATTACATACATACATACATACATACATACATACATACATACATACATACATACATACATACATACATACATACATACATACATACATACATTACATACATACATACATACATACATACATACATACATACATACATACATACATACATACATACATACATACATACATACATACATACATACATACATACATACATAAATACATACATACATACATACATACATACATACATACATACATACATACATACATACATACATACATACATACATACATACATACATACATACATACATACATACATACATACATACATACATACATACATACATACATACATACATACATACATACATACATACATACATACATACATACATACATACATACATACATACATACATACATACATACATACATACATACATACATACATACATACATACATACATACATACATACATACATACATACATACATACATACATACATACATACATACATACATACATACATACATACATACATACATACATACATACATACATACATACATACATACATACATACATACATACATACATACATACATACATACATACATACATACATACATACATACATACATACATACATACATACATACATACATACATACATACATACATACATACATACATACATACATACATACATACATACATACATACATACATACATACATACATACATACATACATACATACATACATACATACATACATACATACATACATACATACATACATACATACATACATACATACATACATACATACATACATACATACATACATACATACATACATACATACATACATACATACATACATACATACATACATACATACATACATACATACATACATACATACATACATACATACATACATACATACATACATACATACATACATACATACATACATACATACATACATACATACATACATACATACATACATACATACATACATTACATTACATTACATACATACATTACATACATACATACATACATTACATTACATTACATTACATTACATTACATTACATTACATTACATTACATACATACATACATACATACATACATACATACATACATACATTACATACTTACATACATACATACATACATACATTTTATACATCACATGCACAGAAACGCTGGCAATGACAAGGGGAGAAAGGCTGTAGTGCCGAAAACAAAACGCCCAGCGTGGTTTCGCATGCCACTGCAGCCGGCGGGCCATGGCCCGCAGCGCTAGCTGGGCGAGGTCGTGCTTCCGGTTTGGGGCCAGCACTGAGAGGCCGCCCAGCTGGATCCCGATGGCTCCGAAATTGGAAAAGCCACAGAGGGCGTAGGTGGCAATGATCTCCTCAGAGTCATCAAAGTACACGTTTCGTACCCAACACCCATGGGTGAGTCCTTTTTTGGACCCCAATTGGCTTCGGTTGTCCTGTTGGGTTCCCTCTCAAAGAAAAAGACGAGCCACCCCAGGGAGGTTTCCATGGCTCGCTCCGGGCTCAAAGCCCCTGCTGCCGGGCCGCCGCTCTTCGGCTGATCTGCCCGGCATTGGCCATGTCGGCCAAGTGCCGATAGGCCACGAACTCGTTGAGCACGGTTTTCTCACCTCACGTCTCAACCAGATACGCGTGTCATATCCAGTTGCTTTAACCCCAACAACGGGCATCTAAACATGTCACAGCTGCAGCCGCCATGCCAACCGCAACTCTGCAACTACGCTGCATTCTCACTGGATTGCATGCCAACATGCCCACTCCACTGCAGAAGTGTTTGGTTCAATGCCAGCATCGTGCAAAGGCAGCCATGCGCAAGCGGCATTCATAACCACTGTGACGCTTGCGCAAAGCAAACGTGTGAGGGACAGAGCAAACGTGCAAGGGTGCCAGCAGCATTTGTAGCTGCTGTAACCCCTGCACAAAGCACACACGTATTTGCCACTACGTTCGCACCGACAAACGTAGACTTGAAAGCGCATTTAAATGCTTTCAACGTGGAAGTGCAAATGAGCAATGCGCGGAAAACACACACAAGAAATGTGGAAACCCTCACATTGCCAGGTCGTGCCTGTAATTTCCTGCGGAGTGCACAATCAATATGACATGAAAACCTGGCGGGGGTCCACGTTTTGTCGCTGCTTCAAAATTGTCTGTGGGAGGCAAAGGCAGGCTTCAGGGGCGCTCAACGCCACCAATCTGTGACGTTTCCAACGACGCGGGAATATATATATATATATCCTCGGCGTCGGCCTCCCTCGCGGCGGAGGCCTGGACCGATCTCGTCGTGTCCGTAACCGTCCGAGATGCTGGCATCCTCTTGATAATCGCAGCTTCCATCGGAGAGATACACCGGCCGGCTTTGTGGGCAGACATGGCAATAGCCGTTGTAGTAGTACGGGTGGCTGCTAGAGCAGTACTGCTTGCTCTTACTGCTCACATCAGCTGGTTCTGAAGAATCCTGCGCGTGACGCACCCTCAACCCCCTGAACGCCGCACAAAAGCAACCGAGCCTGCACCGGCACTGGCTTCTCTCCCTCGCCTCCCTCGACTGAAGCAGACTTGTCTTCCTGCAAGATGTTGCAGAGCGCACAAAAAAGTGGGCAAGCACAGCAGCCTGTCAAAAACTTCGGCTGAATGCATTCAAGTACGCGAGCAATGGCCACAACAAAACGTGCGCTTCAAGAATTGTTAAACAGACGTTGAAACCTGGCTGCTGCGCCCAGCAGTGCAGGTCTATCTAGTTGTGCATCCATGACTAATGACTTCCCATGGCACCGCAACCTCGACCGGCTCTGATATGTTCTCGCGCCGCAATTGAAGTGCCTGTCCAGTCTGGGTCAACATTGGTTGGGGTGGCAACCAAAGAAGTCCATCTCGCTTTGTCGTGGGTACAACCGGCAGCTTGAGCTTCTGACACTAAAGGCAGCTGGCTCCGGCAGTACATTCGTCCTGGCATTTCGGCGGCCAAGTTCCAGGCGACGATGGGAAGGTGGTGCCCCCTATCAGATGTTTTAGAAGGCCCGTCACTCGGTCGTGTGAATGCCATGTCAGCAACCAGCGTCGCTGCCTACATACTAACCGCGCCCCTTCCGGCATCTTCCGGCACAACACGCCCAGGCCACGTCTGGCACAAGCCCAGGATGTTCCGGATTCGGATGTTCCGGATACTCCTGGCAAGGCCGTCGACCCACAACGTGTCGCACGGACCCCGACAGGTGCCTGAGTACAACCAGGGCCAACCTTGGCGGATTGGCCACAAGACCCGCCAGACCCGCCCCTCTGAGCACGGCGCCAGAACCGCGGCGTGAGGGCGCTTGGCCTGTGGGCCTCGCATCTCTTCCAACTTGGCGCACACAACTCACTTGTGGAACTCAGCTGGGCCGCGAGCCTGCACAAAAACGCCGCTTAAAAACGGAGATCCCTTGAGCAAAACGGCTGGTGCAAGTGAGCTTCCTCAAAGCGGGCGTCTGGCGTCTGCTTTCCTTTTGATTTCCCATTGAAACCACGAAAAACAGGGCAGCCTCACCAAAAAAACGAGCCATACGAACGCACACCAAATGAATGCCCATGGTCTACGCTCTGAGGAGGGCGCCGATGAGCAGGCCCACCTTGCCGCACTCCTCCGGCGGGACGCCCATCATAAAGGCGAGAGGCCACAGCAGGTAGGACAAGACCTCCAGCTTCTGCTAGGCTTCAGAGAATGTGTTTCTGAAGCGAATGGGTTCCGGAATCAACCAGATGAGTAAAGCAGTCTGCCCAAAGATGGTCCCTGGTATTCAAGGGGGACCTCAAATCATGTGAGAGACCATTGAGCCACCGTAAACCTGGTAGAGGAGTCTACCTAAACACAAGGGGGGGAGGGCGGAATCCTTTTGGTCTCCCTTTAAAGCAACCCCTCTACCCCAAATCCAGCACCAAAGGAAAACGGAGTGCATCATCTTGAAGTGAATCACCATGAAAACTCTGAGTCCTATGTGTGGAAAGCCTGCAGTCACAGCCACGGCCTGGCATTCAGGGGCTCTACCTCAAAGAATGTGGGAGGCCAGTAAGGCATGATAAAACCTAGCATAGACGGACGTTCCCAAAGAGTCGGGGGACGTCCTTTTCGTTTCCGTTAGACCAAGCCACGAAGAGTAGTCTGTGATAGCCGTCCGTCCAACACGACAGGGTAAAGAATCACATGTGTTGCAAAAAGTGGCCCTGAGGTCAATCCGCGACTGTACGAGCAAGTGATACCTTCCCGACATGAAGCCAACATTGGAGTTGGAGCTTAGGGTGCCGTTCAACCAAGCGGCCAGGTCGAAGGTGAGGCCCCCGATGCCAACCAAGCTTCCAGCCCATTCAAGAGCGCTGTTTGCAAAGGCCATGACCGAAACGAAGGAGATAAGCATCGCAGCAATGGTGGCTGCCTCAACCCGACGTGCAAGGAAGAGCTAGGTCAGTCAGGGGAAAGTTGTCAGACATGCCAAATGGCGCAACAACAGGTTCCCAGCCCTTCTAATTCCAAGTCCCATCGCTCCATCCCTTCCCATTCACTCGATTACCGGATCGCTCAACCGCTAAATCGCTCAATCACTCAACACGGGCTCATTTCATCGACCCCCAATTGCCACAACTCAAGACTCAAACGGGACAGCTGCCACCTTAGGTCGGACCTTGCTCCCCCCATTCCGGGCGGCCATGACGGCACCTGTGGCGGCTCCATTGCTGAGCGCATCCAGCACATTCCTGGAGCCATCTGAGGTGAGCTCCTGCAGGTCGTTGGTCCTCCGATAGCTTTCTGTCCCGAATCTTGTGGTTTCATTGATATATATATATATACACATACATATATATATATATCATTTTGTGTATCACATTGAAGAGGGTCCCGTTCACTTTGCCCCCCTTACTCTCCGGATTGATTCATCCGGCGTCGCGACAAACGCCCTGATTCATTGGCTCCAAGATATCCTGCTTGATTGAGCTTCCCACAGTGTTCAAGAGGCGAAAGTCCTAAAAATTGGTCAGCCAAAATCGAGTCGGCCAATCAGGGTACTTTTGAGGCTTCTTTCAAAGGGATTCCTATGGACAAACCGTAAGGCCTTGGAAAGCCGGCAGGCTTGCGGGACAACTGGGGGAAGACTCCTCCTTATGTCTGGCCCAGACCGTACCGCTACAGAAACTCAAAGGAGAGGGAAACACAGTTTTGTCAACAACGGGGGAACCCGGGACCTTAAAAGGAACGAACCCCTCCGTGACTGCGACCTCTCCCTTGACCTTGTGGCTAGCGCGGTGCAACGCGCTGTTTTCAGCACTTGAGCCAAAGCAGTGATTGGATCATGCTTTGGCAATGACTTGAATGTACAACATGCAACTGACTACATGGGAACCTACCTCATGTACCTCTGGGCCATAAATGTCATCGTGATAATTGACTCCCCCCTCATTGACGGCACTGAGGGAGTGTCTTGGGCGCATTACCACGCCAACTTGAAGTCAAGTTTACATCACAACGACTGACACAAGTTATTCAAGCATCACCCAGGCACTTTGCACACTTTGGAAATTTGCGGACATGCTGCAGCGCACTAGGCAGCTGCTTTAGCGGCTCTACTTTCACGAACGTCTTCAAGCTTCTCTGGAAGGTCAACACGAATGCCGAGCAACCGGATGGCATGGTCCCACTTGTTGGGTGGAAGTGCTTTCGTGAAGATGTCCGCTGACTGCATGTCGGTTTGGACGTATTCTATCGAGATGTGTTCGCTTTCAAGCTGCTCTGCGATGCACGCGAGGTTCACCTTGTGCGTTCGCTGGACACAGCGTAGCTTGGATGAGAAACCTTTCCTTGCTACGAGGATAGTCGCCTGGTTGTCCTCGTGGATCTTGAGATGGAATGGTCGGTCCAAGATCAGCTCCCACAAGCTAAGCGCAGGGAGCGCCTCCTGATAAAGGGAGTATGCGAGAGATACAATCTCCGCCTCGGTCGTTGATCGGGAGACCGATGTCTGCCTTTTGGACACCCACGCAAGCGGAAAATGCGTGTGCGGACCACTCAAAATCAAGAATCCTCCGGACGTGGATTTTGCATCTCGCTCTCCAGCGAAATCGGCGTCCACATAAAGAGACAGATGCAAATCCTCAGTCGAATCTTGAACTGTGCCTACTAGCGTGCTGTTGACCGTGCTGTTTATGTAGCAAACAAGCCTATGTAGCTGCTTATCGCAGTTTCTAGACCATTTTTGAACAAATGAGGCAAGGTCGCCAATGGGCTTGACCAGGTCTGGTCGTGCCAAACGGCCGAGCCATAAGGCTTTCATCAACACGCGGCAAGCGGCAAAGCCGAGCTCACCCTCCAAGGCGTCATCTGCAGGATCTAGGGATCCAGCGGGACAGAATGGAGTGGTGGCGTCGCGCAGCTTTTCACTTTTCAGCTGTGCAACCTCAAGATATAATGCCACCGTTTGACGGGCATAATCCCGCATGTCGAACGCCATGCCCCCTTTCAATCTGCCCATTGCGGCATTAAGATCGGGTTCAGTTGGGTCCTTTGGAGCATCTATCAAAAGGTGGTTCCTGCCTAGCACCCGATATATGTCTTCTGGGGGTTCTATATCAACCAGTCTTGTTAACTTTTCCCAGAAGTCTTTATGAAGGTGGCTGGGGCCGGCCAGCGTCAAGTCGTCGACGTATGTCGAGAGAAGCAACCCGGACTCCTTGAACCAGAAGTTTCCAGGAAACTCTGCGACTTCACGCCCTCCAAGTTCACTAATGAACCCTTTGAGGTGTGCCTCCCAGAGACCGCCAGCGTCAGGATGCCCATAAAGAGCTTTAACGAGCAAAACCACAGGTTTCACGAAACGCTCGCGCCACCACCTTGGCCGGAGCTGAGGCGGGAGTGTGATCCAAGTTTGGTACTTGGACTTCAGCAGTGCTTGCACATAAGCCTTTATAGCGTCCGCTGTTGTGGTGGAATTCCCTGGCAGGGATCCATAAGCGAGACAGTTATTAAGACCTTGTACGCTCGTGGGATTTGCTCCCAATATTGGTAGACAGCTGCGCCATGTTCATCTTTCGCACAGTCCCCGCGATACACAATCCTACCTTTCATCTTCTGAAGGTGTTTCGCGAGTTCGGCGAACTTGACGGATGCTAGCGACATCAACTGCCCGAAATGGACTTTTATACTGGATCGTCGCGCCTCAGCAGCGACTTGATCGTACTCTCGGACTGAATTTAGATCCCAAGCACCGGCTTTCTCCAGGCCTGTGGCTTCAAGTCGAACGGCTTCAAGAGCTTCCGGGGAAGCCAACATTTCGGCACGTGACAAGAGTCTGGTCACCATTGCGGTGATCTCAGGATCCTTCTTCTCTTTGACTTGTCCTAGGGAATGTGCGATGAGATTTTCAACATCAAGAACTTGTTCAAGGATGTCGTGACACCTTTCATCGGACTCAACAGCCACACCTATATCTTCCAAACCAGAGAGAGGGGATATGTGCTTCAACTGCTGTTCACGTTCCCGGTGATCGAGAGGCAATGGCACTTGGACAGGCATCGCAGGCACGGCGGGTTGAACTGTCGGATACAGTGCACGGGCAACTGTGAGACACATGCCTTCGGGGTAGAAGGCGGTCTTTGCGGTCTTGTTACCTGCTGCAAGCGAATTCTTATACCCTTTTTCGTGCGGACACTTGAATGCACCTAGTGCGGATGCGAGTGTGCATTGCTGGTCATGACTTTCCATGGCTTCTTGATGGGGTAACCATTGCTGTCCTTAAGACCTAGGGCGCAACCATGGAAGGTCGCTGGGGTGAAGACGTGTGCGTATTCTCTAAAGAATGCAGAAACATCATCTCTAGCCCAGCTGTCGCAATCCCTTGGCCATTCAAACGAAACACTACCCCCCTGATGGAGGACAGTCTCTGCGTGACGTCTGAATCTGGAGAACAACTCTCTCGACTCTTTAACCTTTTGCTTCAGTTTCTTTTTGAACTGGCTTCCTAACTTGGCCTTATTAAGGCGTTGCCATGCTGAACCTGATGTACAGGGAATTGCGGCCCAGAGATTGGGTTTATCACAACCTTCAATCTGCGACTGCAACTGGATTTCTCCTTCATCTGTGCTAAGGTCGATAAACTCTTTAGCCAGCCTAACATGAGGTATGCCAAGACCTTCAAACACGCGACCCATGTTGGACTCTGGTGAACATGCGTATTCGAACATCACAGGCAACTTGTCAATACGTGCCTGTTTCTTGCGTGCACGATGATTTCCAACCTCAAACTGCTTGCGCTGTGGAGCTTCAACTTCTGCGCTGCATGGCATGCCAAAAACTGGCAATGTGTTCGGACGACCGTTCTTTGACGCTTCGGTGAGAGGTGTCGGCGGTACGGAGTCTAACATCACGGCTGCACCTGTGGCGATAACACAATCGGACTGAATGGGTTTTAACTTGAACACTGTGAACCCGGTCCATGCGTCTCCAAGTGAGCGATTGGGTCGGCTACCAAACCAACCATCATGGATGTTGTCTGCTTTGCCCCCCTGAAACACGGCACGAGTGGTGCGAGCTGCAGTAAATCTTTCTGGGGAAACGGGGCAATCCTCGACCTCTTTTGGGGTAAAAAGATTCTGCCTTGGCATGATATGGTATCGAACCAAACAGTTGGCATTTTCTTTGAACACTCAAAAATCTTCACCTTGCGATGTAGCGGCTGTTGCTGGCGCGGTATCGAAAAATGAGCCACCGGGTCTTGAGGGAGCGGGCTCCCCAGCTTCGGCTGCATCAAATTCATGCGCAACATCTTCTGCACTAACTGCGGGCTTAGGATCCTCTCCATGCTCGGATGCGTGGATTGCTCTAGCTAGCTCCTCATCCCCTTCAGTATGAACAATGGGAATGGGTTCCTTAGATTCAGTTTTGGCAGCGCTTTTTGCAGCTGCTTCAGCTCGATCTGCAGAAACAAGTTCGGAGAACCTCTTCTTGCATTCGGCACTGTGAATCTTGGAATGACCGGTGCATGCACGGCAACCTGGCGTTTCCTTGAACTTGATGATCCTCTCAACAGTTATGTACACGGATTTTGACTTGACAGCGGATGGAGTCGGTGGGGCACCAAAGGGCGCCTCTCGCAGGGGCATAGGTGGGGGATCAGACCCTTCTGTCTTGCCACCATGCAATGCTATATCTGCTGCTGCTGCAATCGGGAAGCTTGGGGGTCCGTCTTCAACGAACAATTCCGGTTCAGGAACATCGTGAACGGAAATGGAACCATCTTTACGGAAGGCTTCATAGTCCATGACTTTGACCAAACCGCAACCCCGGATCGACCCTCCAACCCAAAAAGAGCGCAGGCGCCATGTTCGGATCGAGAGTGAGCTTGCCAGGAGTCTTGGTTCTGTACCAAACCAATTGCCCGAAACAGCATCTCTTACCTTGGAACTTTTCTTTGGTGAGGGCTTCCCATTGGGTTTTCCCTGGGCTGAATGGTGCAGGCCTGTCGAACGACATGGAGAGACATGCAAATGGGTAACTAAACGTATGCAACGAATAGGGCAACCCTGATTGCATGTGGATGCTGCGACAGCATTCCTTCTCTTCGCGAATGTCGCGCTCCAGAACGGTGTTGTGTGGCCACCTGTTCGGCAAGCTTGTCTCGGGGACGAGACCGACTTCGTGGGCCGCTCCTTCGAGCTCTCCTGCTGCATCCATTTTTACTAGACACGTTGGCGGCGAATCAGTGGCCCGAAGGGACGGAAGTTTTTGACATGCGCTTGCGTGTCCC